CAACCTCTGCCTCCGGGGTTCAAGCGATTCTCCTGCCTCAGCCTCACGAGTAGCTGGGATTACAGGCGTGCGCCACCACACCTGGCTAATTTTTGTATTTTTAGTAGAGACGGGGTTTCACCATGTTGGCCAGGCTGGTCTCGAATTCCTGACCTCAACTGATCTGCCCACCTGGGCCTCCCAAAATGCTGAGATTCAGGCATGAGCCACCACACCTGGCCTAGAACCTAAAACTTTAAAGGCTCACTGACCCCCACTCAAACTTGCTTTATCTAGCATTTGGAACCTAGAAAAGATCAAAACAACCACTCGTCCAGGGCAGCACTAATTGGCAGTGGCATCCAGTGGTTTTATTGCTCTGTAATAAGGTTACTTACTGTCTTTCTTGAACTTATTTATTTATTTGTTTTAGACAAAGTCTCACTCAGTGCCCAGGCTGGAGTGCAGTGGTGCAGTCTTGGCTCACTGCAACCTTCGCCCCTCTGGTTCAAGCAATTCTCATGCCTCAGCCTCCTGAGTAGCTGGGATTACAGGTGACCACCACCATGCATGGCTAATTTTTGTCTTTTTAGTGGAGATAGGATTTTCATGTTGGCTAGGCTGGTCTCGAACTCCTGACCTCAAGTGATCTGCCTGCCTTGTCCTCCCAAAGGGCTGGGATTACAGGTGTGAGCCATGGCGCCAGATCTTTTCTTTAACCACTATGCACATGGCTTCCCATCTGTCTTTTACCTTACCCTGTCACTCTGCCTGAAGATCTCAGAACACCATCTATAGGAGATGCGCATCTGAGGATTTCTGATGCTGTTTATCTTTAGGGACTTGTTACTGGGCTTCTGTCTGCCACGACAGCAGAAATGTGCCTAGTAAACAATTCCTTTTTGTTGGAAGGCAGTCTTGCCAGGGGCCTTTGAGGGCCTTGCCTAGTATATTAGACCAACAGCATTTCTTTTCTTTTTTCTTTTATTGCTCTGTAATAACGTTACTTTCTTTCTTGGATTTATTTATTTATTTATTTTAGACAAAGTCTTGCTCTTGCTCAGGTTGTAGTGCAGTGGCTGTGATCTTGGCTGACTGCAACCCCTGCCTCCTGGGTTCAAGCAAGTCTCCTGCCTTAGCCTCTCGATAGCTGGGATTACAGGCGCGAGCCACCACGCCCGTCTATTTTTTCTTTTTTTTTTGGTACTTTTAGTAGAGACAGGGTTTCACTGTGTTAGCCTGGATGGTCTCTATCTCCTGACCTCTTGATCTACCTGCCTCAGCCTCCCAAAGTGCTGGGATTACAGGCGTGAGCCACCACGTCTGGCCTGGACCAGCACTATTTCATAACTACTACAGAAAATACCCCAGACTTTTAGCCCATAAATCTCTTGTATAATTCTGCAGATCTACCAATGGCAGACCGAGAGGCAGATGCAATCTCCGGTTCGCGATTTGGGGAGTAGTCTTTGAAACAGAGTCACCGTCTAGCTCTGGCATGCTACAGGGAGGAAACGCGCAGAGCTTAAGACTTAGACAAGGCCAGGTGCCTGGGTCGAGGCAGAACTGAGGCTTTTCCAGGCGTCTTCTCGCTTAGCAGTGTTTCTTTTACATCACCCTGATCCCGGTGTTCGGCGTATTATGGGGAGTCGCAGGGCATTCCTTTCCATGGACATAAATTCCCACGTCTACTGGTGACATCAAGTCACAAGAGGCCAGAGTGCAGTTTTCTTTTCTTTTTTTTTCCGAGACGGACTTTCGCTCTTGCTGCCGAGGCTGGAGTGCAAGGGCGCAATCTCGGCTCACTGCAACCTCCCCCTCAAGGGTTCAAGCGATTCTCCTGCTTCAGCCTCTCAAGCAGCTGGGATTACAGGCATGCACCACCACACCCGGCTAATTTTGTATTTTTAGTAGAGACAGGGTTTCTCCATGTTGGCCAGGCTGGTCTCGAACTCCTGACCTCAGATGATCCGCCTGCCTCGGACGCCCAAAGTGCTGGGATTACAAGAGTGAGCCACCACGCCCGGCTCGGAATGCAGTTTTCAAGTCAGACTCCAGCCAGAAACGAAGTTGGCCTCTTCCGGAGGAGCCAAATAACTGGATGGACACTCCCACCTGCTTCGCAGACTGGCGCACACGGTGGTGAGGTGAGGGGCTTTCTGCGTTTGGGTAGAGTGGCGTCGGCTTTAGGTGTCCACGGTAGGGCAGTAACTCTAATGGTCCCTGGCAGTCCCCAAATATAGTCGCCCTTGGACCTTGACGAAGGGGGTGTCACCAACCCTTGGGGGAAAGCGCAAGGTCAGCGGCGGCGCCAGGAGCTGGCGACAGTGCGGAGGGAGTAGCGTCACCGGCCCAGCCCCGGAGCGGGCCCTGGAGCAGTCGAGAAGGCGGCCTCCTGCCGCCTAGAGGCGCCGGCCCGTTCGTGCGCTCTGCCTGTGCCTCGTCTCTATGGCGGCCCCAACGGCCGTCCAGGACGTGGAGCGAGATGAGCGCGGGCGCTGACGGCAGCGGTGGCCCTGCGGTGGCGGCGCGGTCGGGCGAGGGCAGTCCCGGGGAGGACGGTTTCGTTCCGTCGGCGCTGGGGACGCGCGAGCAGTGAGTGTGACGCAGGGCAGGGGAGGGTGAGCCGTGCTGCCCTGCCTGGGCCCCGAGAAGGGGACGGCGGGGTGGAGACCCGGGGCACGGGGACCAGGAGACCCTCGGGGGCGTGACGCGAGCAGGGCCGCCTTGCGGGAGGCTCGGGGATTTGAAAGGGTGGAATACCTTGGGGTCACCATGCGCGGTTAACCGACGTTTCAAGGGATTGGAGCCCAACGGGCTTGTGGGTGGGGGACAGGCTTTGAAGCTCTTGCGGAGGCCTTTTGGGAGTCTCGAACCGGAGGGCCAGGCTTGGGGGAAACGGGGAGAGGTCGAGGCTGGCGAATAGGGCTGGTCGGCGAGAGTGGGAGACCGAGGGAGAAGTGCCGGGCCTGGGAGTCGAAAGGGGAGCTGGAAGGGGTGGGAATAACGGATGATCCAAACGGGGAGCGAGGAGATAATGGGGCATCTTGGGGTGAGAGAAAGCGATCTGACCTAAAACAGACGCTCAGGATTATTAAATGAATTAATGGATGGATGAGTGGATGAATGACTGCAGAGAACAGTTAGGGAGAGGTAAGTTGTAGCGATGAGAAGGAGCAGGGATTCTAGAGAATCATTGTAGGAAAAGAGAAGGCAAATTAAAAGGAATCAGAGGGCCAGGCACGGTGGCTCACGCCTGTAATCCCAGCACTTTGGGAGGCCGAGGCAGGGGGATCACGAGGTGAGGAGATTGAGACCATTCTGACCAACAAGGTGAAACTCCGTCTCTACTAAAAATACAAAAATTAGCCAGGTGTGGTGGCGCACGCCTGGAACCCCAGCTACTCAGGAGGCTAAGGCAAGAGAATCGCTTGAACTCAGCTGGTGGAGGTTGCAGTGAGCCGATACTGTGGCGCTGCACACTCCAGCCTGGTGACAGAGCGAGACTCTGTCTCAAAAAAGAAAGAAAAGAAAAGAAAAAAAAAAGAGAAGAGAAAAGGAAAGGATTCAGAGAAAATTTAAACAGAGGGCTAGAAGACTGGAATAGGCAGAGGCAGATAGCACAGGAAAGAGACTGTGTGCCTGCACGCTTGAGACCAGATGTACTTGTTTCATCAAATTTTGGACTTGGGTCAGGGACTTAGGGATACATGGACAAATGTCTCTGTATTTTTTTTAGGCTAAAACTTATTGTTGTGCATCAGATATTGTCCTAAATGCTTTAGATGTACAGTATAAACGTATTTTGCTTGCCCACGTATTAAATTCTTTTACCTCAAGGATGTTAAAAGATTTAACTATGTGTACTTATTGGTAACACTAGTGATGCTTTAAACCCCTGTCATAAATAGTTCTGTAATGTGTTAGATACATACATTTAATTCATAATACAGTTTAATTCAAGAGTCTCACTTTGCATTTCATTATTTACATAGTTGGGATGCTGTCTATGAGAGAGAACTGCGAACTTTCCAAGAATATGGAGATACAGGTGAAATCTGGTGAGTTAGGAAAAGGATCAAGTTATAATCTAGAAGATTGTATGTATATGTGTGTGTTTAAAAAAATATGTGTAGCTGGGCGTGGTAGCTCACGCGTGTAATCCAAGCACTTTGGAGGCCAAGGCAGGCGGATCACCTGAGGTCGGGAGTTAAAGACCAGCCTGACCAACACGGTGAAACCCCGTCTTAAAAAAAAAAAAAATGTATATTCACTAGGGGAGGGACAGTGGGGAGTGGGGAATTGGGGAGGGATAGCACGGGGAGAAATGCCAGATATAGGTGATGGGGAGGAAGGCAGCAAACCACACTGCCATGTGTGTACCTATGCAACAATCTTGCATGTTCTTCACATGTACCCCAAAACCTAAAATGCTATTAAAAAAAAGTGTATATTCAAGTGCTTATACCCAAAGAAAGCCTAAAAATCCTGGGAACCCTGGATTAAGTCTTGCTTTAGTGGGTAGATTTAAAGTCTGTCTCTTCTTTCTTTTATTTAAATTTTTTATTTTTTTTGCTGTTTTTAGAGAGGGTATCTTTCTGTCATCCAGGCTGGAGAACAGTGGCATGATCATCATAGCTCACTACAACCTGGATCTCCTAGGCCCAAGTGATCCTCTCGCTATAGCCCTCTTGGGTAGCTGGGACTATAGCTGCATGCCACCATGCCCAGCAAATTTTAAAAAATTTTTTGTAGAGACAGGGTCTCACTGTGTTGCCCAGGCTGGTCTTTGAACTCCTGACCTCAAGCGAGCCTCCCACCTTGGCCTTCCAAAGTGTTGGGAGAGTGGGTGTGAGCCCTCTTTTAATATCTCACATTTATATTTGATGACAATATTTCATGCTATAGTTGTCCTTTTTCAATAAGCAATAAAATTTTGAACCACCAACATTTACAAGTATTAATGCTGATACAGAAAAACGTTAATCAGTAACATACTGACCTTGTCTATTCCTGGAGGTGGTTTCTCCTAAATTACAGTAGAGACAAAGCTTAAGCAGTCACAGATATTCTCACTTTGAAATAAGACTTTGAGCATGTGGGATAAATAGCTTACATGGAATATAGTGGTGACCTTTGCTCTGTATCCCTCAATTATTTGACTGATGCTCTGTTTCTAACAGGTTTGGAGAAGAGAGTATGAATCGACTAATAAGGTGGATGCAGAAACGCAAGATTCCATTGGATGCTTCAGTGCTTGATATTGGAACTGGAAATGGTGTTTTCCTGGTTGAACTTGTTGGTACTTTTAGTATTTGTTTGTTAGAGACAAATTTTAAGATAAAAAATTTTAAAAGCCCAGCAATTGAGGGTATTAACTATCTAAATATGAAATAGTAAAGCTATTTACTTTGAGAAATCACATAGTACAAAAGGGAGGCTACATGGATTGTGAGAGAGCACTAAATGAGAACCTGGGGGATCTGAGTCCTAGTCCTGATCCTTCTGGCTGTAGCCTGAACCTTGAGCAAGCTACTGAATTTTTCTAGGCTTCAGTTCTTTTCTAAGGATTGTGACTAAGGTGATTGTGACTAAGGTGTGACACTAAGGTGTTGCTTTTGGTTTCTTGTAGCTCAAAACTCTGCACATCTGTTTATATAAAAAAAAGTTGACCTCTTGAAATTCCAGTAGGACCTACATATCTTATCTTGGGTGAGCATATGTTTGAAAAAGAGCATTTTTGTCCATGGAGTTGGGTTTTGGTACCCAATCCACTGTTATATGCCTGTACTGTGCTCTTCCTATACTGGGTGCTATGGAGGAATTATAAGACTTAGGCTTCATCCTAGATAGTTTTACAGTCTTAATTAGTACAGAAATAAACATAAGAGTTAAATTTGTTGAGTACCACATGCCAAGCGTCATGTTAAGCGTTTGCAACAAGAAAATTTGTACTTGAATTTTATTTTATTTTTTTTTTGAGATGGAGTCTTGCTCTGTCGCCCAGGCTGGAGTGCAATGGGGTGATCTCGGCTCACTGCAACCTCCACCTCTTGTGTTCAATCGATTCTCCTGCCTCAGCCTCCTGAGTAGCTGGGATTATAGGTGCCCGCCACCATGCCTGGCTAATTTTTTGTATTTTTCAGTAGAGACAGGGTTTCACCATGTTGGTCAGGCTGGTTTTGAACTCCTGACCTCAGGTGATCCATCCGCCTGGACCTCCCAAAGTGCTGGGATTACAGGCATGTGCCACCGTGCCCCATCCTGTACCTGAATTGTTTGCAGTACAATAGAGTATGGACTGACATATAGACAGTTGTGCTATCACTTGATGCATGCAGTAATATACCGAAAAGAGGATGATTAATTTTGGAATGGAGGGATAGGGAAACATTTTGGAGGAGTTAATATCCAAGTTGGGCAGAAATTTCAGAGACAGCATGGTGACCTAGTAGAGTGTAAAGAAGAAGAGGATTTTAACTGATGGAAGTATTTTCTAAAGGCATGAAGGCTGAAGCAGTATATTATGTTCTGGGCCTATGAATAACTTGATAAATTGAAATACAGAGCATATATGGAGATGGACAGAGATGAGGATTAAGTTAAAGGTAGGAACTATTTTATGCTTTGCCAGGCTTAAGAGCTTCGATTTTGCATTTAGGCTATGGAGAATTTAAAAATGTTTTTCGTAATGGAATACAGTTAGAAAAACTTGAAATAACCCTTTTTGAAACATTGAGATATAGCATATGTACGTTGAAGTGCACAAACCAGAATGAATTGAATTATCAGAAAGTGAATACATCCACTTAATAATCGCTTGGTCAACATATAGAATATTACAGTGCTCTAGAAATTCCCCTAGAACTCCCTAGCAATTACTATTCCCTCCTTCCTTTTTTTTTTTTTTTTTTTTTTGAGGCAGAGTCTTTCTTTGTCACCTGGGTAGGAGAACAGTGGTGTGATCGCGGCTCATTGCAGCCTCAACCTCTCAGACTCAAGTGATCCTCTCGCCTCATTTGTTGACCTCAAGGTCTCACTATGTTGCCCAGGCTGGCCTTCCTTCCTTTTTAAAAGTAACCACTATCTACCAATCATGAATCAAAGATGAGTTTTAAATCAGATTAATTTGCCTGTTTTTGAATGTATAAATGAAACTCATTAACTCCTGACCTCAAATCTGCCTGCCTTGGCCTCCCAGAGTGCTAGGATTATAGGTGTGAGCCACCTTGCCCAGCCAGTTTGTAGATTCCTTTAGATTTTATTCACATATAATTATGTATACTATGAATAGTGGCCATTTTGTTTTTTCTTTCCTAATCCTTTATAACTTTTCCTCTTAATTACGTTTTCTAGGACCTCCAGTAGAATGTTGAAAAGTAGTGATGATAGAAGGCATCCTTGTCTTTTTTTTCCCTTTTCAGAAAACGCTTTCAATATTTCAGTCTTAGGTGTCATGTTAGCTGTTTGTTTTGTAGATAACTTCTAACAGATTAAGGAAATTTCCTCCTATTCCTGCTTTGCTAAGAGTGGTGTTTGTGTATATGTGTATGTGTGTTTCTTTTTTTTGAGATGAAGTCTCACTCTGTCACCCAGGCTAGAGTGCAGTGATGCAGTCTTGGCTCACTGCAACGTCCGCCTCCCAGGTTCAAGCGATTCTCGTGCCTCAGCCTCCCCAGTAGCTGGGATTACAGGTGTGTGCCACCACACCCAGATAATTTTTTGTGTTTTTAGTAGAGATAGGATTTCGTTAGGTTACTCAGGCTGGTCTTGAACTTCTGAGCTCAGGTGATCTGCCCGCCTCGACCTCCCAAAGTGGTAGGATTACAGGCGTGAACCACCACACCTGGACGGTTTCTTTCTTTTTTTTAAAAAAAATGTAGAGACAGAGTCTCGCGCTGTTTCCCAGGCTGGAGTGCAGTGGTGCGATCCTAACTCCCTGCAGCCTTGAACACTTGGGCTCAAGCAGTTCTATTGCCTTGGCTTCCCAAGTAGTTGGGATTACAGGTATACAACACCACACCTGGCTGTGTGTGTGTGTTTCTTATGAACCTTGTTTGTCAAATGTTTTTCCTGTTATCAAGATAATCAAGTGATTTTTCTCTTTTTTTTTTTTTTTTTGGGACGGAGTTTCGCTCTTGTTACCCAGGCTGGAGTGCAATGGCACGATCTCGGCTCACCGCAACCTCCGCCTCCTGGGTTCAGGCAATTCTCCTGCCTCAGCCTCCTGAGTAGCTGGGATTACAGGCACGCACCACCATGCCCAGCTCATTTTTTGTATTTTTTTTTTTTTAGTAGAGATGGGGTTTCACCATGTTGACCAGGATGGTCTCGATCTCTTGACCTCGTGATCCACCCGCCTCGGCCTCCCAAAGTGCTGGGATTACAGGCTTGAGCCACCGCGCCCGGCCACTGATTTTTCTCTTATAGTCTGTTAATGTTGATGAATTACATTAGGCCCATTTTCTTTTTCTTTTTTTTTTTTTTGAGTCGGAGTTTCGCTCTTGTTACCCAGGCTGGAGTGCAATGGCGCAGTCTCGGCTCACCGCAACCTCCACCTCCTGGGTTCAGGCAATTCTCCTGCCTCAGCCTCCTGAGTAGCTGGGATTACAGGCACGCGCCACCATGCCCAGCTAATTTTTTTGTATTTTTAGTAGAGACAGGGTTTCACCATTTTGACCAGGATGGTCTCGATTTCTTGACCTGGTGATCCACCCGCCTTGGCCTCCCAAAGTGCTGGAATTACAGGCGTGAGCCACCGCGCCCGGCAGGCCCATTTTCAAATGTTAAGTACGTTTCTGGAATAAACCAAACTTACATATGCCGCTAGATTGAGTTTAATATTTTGTTTAGGATTTTTGCAGCCCTCTCCTATGGAGACTGTCCTGTAATTTTGGAGACTGTCCTGTAATTTTCTTGTGATGCGATTGTCAAGTTTTGGTGTTAGGTTATGTTGGTTGAAATTCTATTTTTTTGAAATTTTAAGAATGATATTATTTCTTTCTTAAATGTTAGGTAGAATTCACTGGTGAAACCACCTAGATAAGGGGTCGTTTTTGGGGAGTCTTTTTGTTTTTTGAGGTAAGCTTTTCTTTTCTTTTTCCTTTTTTTTTTTTTTTGAGGCAGAGTCTTGCTCTGTCGCCCAGGCTTGAGTGTAGGGGTGCCATCTCGGCTCACTGCAACCTCTGCCTCCTGGGTTCAAGTGATTCTCCTGCTTCAGCCTCCTGAGTAGCTGGGACTACAGGCGTGCACCACCACTCCTGGCTAATTTTTGTATTTTTAGTAGAGATGGGATTCTGCCATGTTGGCCAGCTGGTGTTGAACTCTTGATGTCAGGTAATCTGCCTTGGCCTTCCGGAGTGCTCGGATTACAGGTGTGAGCCACTCTGCCTGGCCTGAACTTCTTAATTGAAGTGTAGTTTATGTAGAAAGCTGAGCCCAAGTGGTACAAAATGAACTCCTTGTGTTATTCACCAACCTGACCAAAAAATAAGACATTTCCAGTTCCATAGGAGCCTCCTTGTGCCCTCTCTCACTCCTTCCTTTCTAAAACTGACCACTGCTGTGATTTCTATCATCATGTAGTAGGCTGTTTTTGATATTAACTGTAGTGGTTTCTTATGGTATTAATTTGCATTTCTCTAATGAGTAATGATGTTGAGCACCTTTTCATGTGCTTATTTGCCACCTGTATTTTTTTTTTTTTTTTTTTTGAGATAGAGTCTTGGTCTGTTGCCAGGCTGGAGTGCAGTGGCATGATGTGATCTCAGCTCATTGCAACCTCCACCTACCAGGTTCAAGGGATTCTCCTGCCTCAGCCTCCTCAGTAGCTGGTACTACAGGAGTGCACCACCACATCCAGCTAATTTTTTTTGTATTTTTAGTAGCGATGGGGTTTTACCATGTTGGCTAGGCTGATCGAACTCCTGATCTCAGGTGATCTGCCCACCTCGGCCTCCCAAAGTGCTGGGATTACAGGCATGAGCCACCTCACCTGGCTTGAATATAGAATTCTGAGCTAGCTGGTTCTTTCAGTACTTTAAAAATGTCACGTCACTTGTTTCTGACTTCCATGTTTACTCATGAGGAATCCGTAGTCATTTGAATTGTTGTTGAAATAATAAATGCATTATTTTTCAGGATGCTTTTAAGATTTTTTTTTCTTTGTGTTTTGTTTTTTGCTGTTTATGATGTGCTGCTGCTTGGTTTTCTTTGGCTTATCGTATTTGGTGTTCACTGAACCTTTTGTATCTCTAAGCTTATGTCTTTTGCCAGATTTGAGATATTTCTAGCTTTTGTTTTTTCAATTTTTTTCTGTATTACTGCTTTTCTCTTTTCCTTTACAGGCGTGAGCCACTGCTCTGGGCCCTGTTTCTTTGTTGTAGTTTTCAGTTCTCTGCTAGAAATCTCCCACTTGTCATTGTCATTCCTATCAGTTGTTTTAAAATCTTTTATTTATTTATTTATTTATATATTTTAAGATGGGGTTTCACCATGTTGGTCAGGCTGGTCTTGAACTCCCGACCTCAGGTGATCCACCCACCTTGGCATCCAGAGTGCTTGGATTACAGGCGTGAGCCACTACGCCCGGCCTGTTTTAAAATCTTTTTCTAATAATTCATTTATTTGGGTCTCCTGAGTGGTCTGTTTCTAAAGTCAATTTCTCCCCTTGGTTTTGGTTGTTTCCTTGAATGTCTGCTCATTTTTGGGTGCCAGAAATTGAATGTGAAAGACATTGGAGATAGTTTGAGGCCCTGAGTGATAGCTCTAGAAACCTAAAACATCTATATGTGATTTTTAAGTTGTACTAGAAGAATAAACAGACATGAGAGAAGGAGGAGCCGATAAGAATCAGTTAATAGACTCATCCTGGGTTCTAGGTCTCCCAGAGAAGGAGTTAAGGGAAATGGGGAGAAAATGAGATCTCAAGGCATAAGGAGGGATACAGCTAAAAGGGAAGAAGGTTGGCATCAAAAAAGAGGATATTAGACCTTTAAATTAAAAGCAAAATAAAGGGAGCAATCTGCCTGTAGAAAATAATTGATATACTTTTTCCTTGAGTTTAGATTAGGAATCAGTTACTTAGCATTGAAAAGACTTGATAGGTCTTAATGGATTTAGATGTGGCAGTAAGTTAAGTTTTATAGAAGTAACCATTTAATAAATGGTGAAGAGCAGGAAGGGAATTTCAGGCTGTACTGTACTTTATAACTTACTTTGTTTTTCATGTTTCCTTTGAAATTATTTTTAGTCTCATTGGTCTAAAAATGTTTAGCCTTGTTAGCAGGTGTGTAAAGACCAGAAGCTACCGTGCTTTTGCCACAGACTCACACAGCCTAGATAGGTTAGTAAACACCAAAACTCTCAAGTCCAGTGAGTTAAAGAAACTTTCTTGGGGATACTGATAGCTGCCCACCCTACCTCACAGGTTTTTTGTAAAGATCTAATGGAATGTATGAAATATTTATTTTTTATTTTATTTATTTATTTATTTAAGATGGGGTTTCTCCATGATGGCCAGGCTGGTGTTGAACTCCTGACCTCAGGTGATCCGCCCACCTTGACCTCCCAAAATGCTAGGATTACAGGCGTGAGCCCCCGCGCCCGGCCTTGAAATATTTTTAAAAATGAAAAAGTATTGTTTTGAATACTGAAAAAACAAAACAAAACACACAAAAAAATGAAAAAGTAATATACAAATGTAGGGTGGTTAAAAATCACATGGTGGAGACTTGCATAATGTATAATTACACTGAAGGGAAAATTTACAAATTGATAGCTTATTACATTTGCATTGATTTTATTCATATAACTTAAGTGGGTTAAGTAAAATTTATGACAAATTTATGTGTGAATTGGAAGTTATCAGCATCAAAAGTTAATGTTACCTTTTTCTGCCTAAGGGCTTATACATATATTTTCATTATTTTTGAGAACATGAATTTCCTTTTGGAAAAGAAATAAAATATTATGAAAACAAAGGCATTGTCACAGTATATAAACTTTCAATTTTTATTTAGAGTCTACAATAAAATTTAAAAATTATGAATTATTGGATTATATGTCATGTTCTCTACAACAAAAATAACTCCAGTCCTATAAAACATCATATTAAAGCTTTTACCAACTAAAGTATAAAATTATTTCTCTCTAGGCAAAATTTGGTTTCTCTAATATTACTGGAATTGATTACTCTCCTTCTGCAATTCAGCTTTCTGGAAGTATTACAGAAAAAGAAGGTTTATCCAACATTAAGTTAAAGGTAACTATTATTTATATTACTATAATATTTATAATAGAAGTTAAATGTTTCTAAAGTATATTAATTGACGTTTTATTTTTTATTTTATTTATTTATTTTTTGAGACGGAGTCCGGCTCTGTCACCCTGGCTGGAGTGCCATGGCGCAATGTCGGCTCACTGCAACCTCTGACTCCTGGGTTTAAGCAGTTCTCTTGCCTCAGTCTCCCGAATAGCTGGGATTACAGGTGACTGCCACAACACCCGGCTGATTTTTTTTTTTTTTTTTTTAAAAGAAAGAAAGAAAAAGAATGAAGGAGAGAAAGAGGAAGAGGAAGAGAGAATGGAAGTGTTGCTTTATTGCCCAGGCTAAAATGCAGTCTAAAAATGGGTATTGAAAGCCTCTTTTTACCAATAATTGTGCTTAATAATGGAGACAGGAAAAAAATGAGGGAAGAAAATAACGAACAAGCAGCCAACCAATATTTCATTTAAACCTGTAAGTAGGTGTTATGTGGTGCTGATAAGAGTGTATATTTTGTGTATTTATTTATTTTTATTTATTTTTTTTTTTGAGACGGAGTTTCACTCATGTTACCCAGGTTGGAGTGCAATGGCGCGATCTCGGCTCACTGCAACCTCCACCTCCTGGGTTCAGGCAATTCTCCTGCCTCAGCCTCCTGAGTAGCTGGGATTACAGACACACACCACCATGCCCAGCTAATTTTTTGTATTTTTAGTAGAGACGGGGTTTCACCATGTTGACCAGGATGGTCTCGATCTCTTGACCTTGTGATCCACCCGCCTCGGCCTCCCAAAGTGCTGGGATTACAGGCTTGAGCCACTGCGCCCGGCCTCTATTTTGTGTATTTAAAGTGGAGAGTTCTATGAGTGTTTATTAAGTTTACTTGTTCCAAATCTGAGTTCAGGTCCTGGATATCCTTGTTAATTTTCTGTCTCATTGATCTGTCTAATATTGATGTTGAAGTCTCCCACTGTTATTGTGTGGGAGTCTAAGTCTCTTTATAAGTCTTATGTATCTGGGTGTTCGTGTATTGGGTGCATATATATTTAGGATCGTTAGCTCTTTTTGTTGCATTGATCCTTTTACCGTTATGTAATGTCCTTCTTTGCCTCTTTTGATCTTTGTTGCTTTAAAATCTATTTTATCAGATGCGAGAATCGCAACTCCTGCTTTTTATTTATTTATTTATTTTTGCTCTCCATTTGGTTGGTAAATCTTTCTCCATCCCTTTGTTTTGAATCTTTGTGTATAGATGGGTCTGGATGCAGCATACTGATGGGTTTTGGCTGTGTCTTTTGATTGGGGATTTGGTCGAGTTTAATACTGCCATTTGTTGCTAGCTGGCTGTTTTGCCCATTAGTTGATATAAATTCTTCATTATGTTGATGCTCTTTACTTTTTGGTATGTTTTTGGAAAGGCTGATACTGGTTGTTCCTTTCTATGTGTAGTGGTTCTTTCAGAAGCTCTTGTAAAGCAGGCTTGGTGGTGATGAAATCTCTGAATACTTGCTTGTTCACAAAAGATTTCGTTTTTCCTTCACTTATGAAGCTTAGTTTGGCCGGCTAGGAGATCCTGGGTTGAAAGTTCTTTTCTTTAAGGATGTTGAATATTGGCCACCAATATTCAACTTTTTGTATTCAATTTTTTTGTATTTTTAGTAGAGACAGGGTTCCTCCATGTTGGCCAGGCTTTCTCTAATTCCTGACCTCAGGTGATCCACCCACCTTGGCCTCTCAAAGTGCTGGGATTACAGGAGTGAGCCACTGCACCTGTTTGACATGTTTTAAACTCACGTAAATTAGGGATCAATTATAAATAATACAAATTGAAACATTTTTAAGTAGCCATATTAAAAATTTAATCTAGTTGGTTTGGGGAAATTATTTTTTCTTTATCTTTTGTGTGTTTGTTCATATACTACTGCTCCTGATGTTTGCAGATACACGTAATGCTTAACTATGGATTAACCAGATCAATAAGTTTTAAATGCATCAAGTGGTGAAATGTCATCAAAAATCATTTAGTTTATTTTTGTGTTCTATGATCGGTGAGATGATGACTCCTAAATTATTTTTCTAGCCCAGGCCTCTCTTCTGAGCTCTAGAGTTATAGGCAGTCATGCCTCGTTTTTGTAGCTTCCCAAATGGCATTTTTTTTTTTTTTTTGACAAATCAAACGTTTGTGGCAAGCGTGTTGAGCCCGTCTGTTGGCACTGTTTTTTCAGCTGCGCATTCTCACTTTGTGTCATATTTTGGTAATTATTGTAATATTTTAGAACATTTTTTTTTTGAGTTGGAGTCTTGCTCTGTCACCAGGCTAGAGTGCGGTGGCACGATCTCGGCTGACTGCAACCTCCACCTCCCGGATTAAAGCAGTTCACCTGCCTAAGCCTCCCAAGTAGCTGGGACTACAGGTGTGCACCACCACGTCCAGATAATTCTTTGTATTTTTAGTAGAGACGGAATTTTGCCATGTTGGCCAGGATGGTCTTGATCTTTTGACCTTGTGATCTGCCTGCCTTGCCCTCCCAAATTGCTTGGATTATAGGCATGAGCCACCGTGCCTAGCCCAGAACTTGTCATTATTATTATACTTGTTATGGTGATTTGTGATCAATGATCTTTGATATTACTATTATAATTGTTTTGGGGCTCCATGAACTGTGCCCACATAGATGGTAAAGTGAATTGATAAATGTTGTATGTTCTGTCTGCTCTACCTATTGGCTGGTCTCCTATCTGTCTCCCTCCCTCCCCCTCAAGCCTCCTTCTTTCTCGGGACATGGCAATATTGAAATTAGGCCAGTTAAAAACCCTCCAGTGGGACGGGCATGGTGGCTAATGCCTGTAATCCCAACACTAGGAGGCTCAGGTGGGCAGATCACTTTGAGGTCAGTAGTTCGAGACTAGCCTGGCCAACATGGTGAAACCTCTCTCCACTAAAAATCTAAAAAATAGCCAGGTGTGGTGGTGTGCACCTGTAGTCCTACCTACTTGGGAGGCTAAAGCGGGAGGATCACCTGAACCTGGGAGGCAGAGGTTGCAGTGAGCTAAGATTGTGCCACTGCACTCCAGCCTGGGTGACAGAGGGAGACTGTGTCAAAAAAAACAAACATAAAAAATGAACAACCCCCCTCCCCCTGTCAATACAGTGGCCTGTAAGTGTTCAATTGAAAGGTAGAGTCACACATCTCTCACTTTAAATCAAAAGCTAGAAATGATTACGCTTAGTGAGGAAGGCATGTTGAAAGCTGAGATAGCCCAGAAGCTAGGCCTCTTGTGCCAAAATTTAGTCAAGTTGTGAATGTAAAACAAAATTTCTTTAAGGAAATTGAAAGTGATATTTCAGTGAACACATGAATAATAAGAAAGTCAAGCAGCCTTATTGCTGATATGGAGAAAGTTTTAGTGGTCCAGGTAGAAGATCAAATCAGTCACAGCAGTCTCTTAAGCCAAAGTGTAATCCAGAGCAAGGCCCTGACTCTTCAGTTCTGTGAAGGCTGAGAGAGGTGAAGAAGCTGGAGAAGAAAAGCCTGAAGCTAGCAGTAGTTAGTTCATGAGATTTAAGAAAAGAAGTCATCTTGGCTGGGCATGGTGGCTCACATTTGTAACCCCAGCACTTTGGGAGGCCAAGGCAGGAGGATCACCTAAGGCCAGGAGTTTGAGATCTGCCTGACCAACATGCTGAAACCCTGTCTTTACTGAAAGTACAAAAAGTTAGCTGGGCATGTTGGCGGGTGCCTGTAATCCTAGCTTTTTGGGAGGCTGAGGCAGGAGAATTGCTTGAACCTGGGAGGTGGAGGTTGCGTTGAGCCAAGATTGTGCCACTGCACTCTAGCCTGGGCAAAAGAGTGAGACTCCATCCCAAAAAAAGAAAAAAAAAAAGAAGCCATTTCCATGACATAAAAGTGCAAGATAAAGCACTAAGTGCTGATGTAGAAGCTGTAGCAAGTTAGCTAGGAAATAACCAGTGAAGCTGGCTAAACAACACACAGATTTTCAATGGAGATGAAACAGCCAAGAAGATGTCATGTAGGAGTTCCATAGCTAGAGAGGAGAAGTCAGTGCCTGGCTTTAAAGCTTCAAAGGATAGGCTGACATTCTTGTTAGAGGGGCCTAATTAGGCTCATGACTTTAAGTTAAAGCCAATGCCCATTTACCATTCTGAAAATCCTAGGGCCCCTAAGAATTATGCTAAATCTTCTCTGCATGAGCTCTATATAAATGGAACAAAACAAAGCCTGGATGATGGCACACCTGTTTACAGTACGGTTTACTGAATATTTTAAGCCCATTTTTGAGACCTACTAGCCCAAAAGAATCAAAGTAGTACTGATCATTGACAATGCATGAATTCACCCAAGAGCTCTGATGGAGATGTATAAGAAAATTAATCTTGTTTTTGTTCCTGTTAACACAGCATCTGTTCTGCAGCCCATGATGGATCAATAAGTAATTTTGACTTTATATCCTTAAATGTGTTATTTAAGAAATGGATTTCATAAGGCTATAGTTGTCATAGATAGTGATTTCACTGATGGATCTGGGCAAAGTAAATTGAAAACCTTCTGGAAATGATTCGCCATTCTAGATGTCATGAAGAACATTTATAATTCATAGGAGGTCAGTATATCAACACTAATGAGTCTGGAAGAAGTTGATTCCCACCCTAGTGGATGACTTGGAGAGAGGTTCAAGATTTCGAGTGGAAGAATTCACTGCAAATGTAGTGGAAGTAGCAAACTAGAATTAGAAGTGGAACCTGAAGGTGTAACTGAGTTGCTGCAGTCTTATGATAAAACTTGATCAAATAAGGAGTTGCTTCTTATGGTGGACGAGCAAAGAAAGTGGTTTCTTGAGATGGAATCAACTGGTAAAGATACAGTGAACATTGTTGAAAAAGGATTTTGAATATTCCGTAAACTTAGTTGATAAAGCAGAAACAAGGTTTGAGAGCGTTGACTCCCATATTGAAGGAAGTTCTGTGTATACAATGCTGTCAAACAATATCATTTGTTCCAGAGAAATCTTTCATAAAAGGAAGAGTCAATCGATGCAGCAAACTTCATTATTCTCTTATTTTAAAAAATTGTCACAGCCACCCCAGCCTTCAGCAACCATCACCCTGATCAGTCAACAGGCATCGTCATTGAGGCAAGGCCCTCCAGCCAGAGAAAAGATTATGTCTTACTCATGGTTTACATGATGGTTTGCTAGTTTGTTAGTGTTTTTTAACAATAAGGTATTTTTTTGGGGGATGGAGGCTTGCTCTGTTGCCCAGGCTGGAGTGCCATGGTACAATCTTGGCTCACAGTAACCTCTGCCTCCCGGGTTCAAGTGATTCTCCTGCCTCAGCCTCCTAAGTAGCTGTAACTACAGGGGCGTGCCACCATGCCTGGCTAATTTTTTATATTTTTAGTAGAGGTGGGGTTTCACTGTATAGCCAGGATGGTCTTGATCTCCTGACCTCGTGATCTGCCCACCTCAGCCTCCCAAAGTGCTGAGATTACAGGCATGAGCCGCCACCACGCCCGGCCAATATAAGGTATATTTTCATACAGGGACCTTTTCTATTTTGTTTACTCATTATATGCAGTGTCTGAAAACTACCTGACAATAGATGTCCACAAAATATTTGTTGAATAGGTGAATATTTTTATATAGGCATTTAGGATGAGGAAGCTTCTTCAAAGTTAGTGCTTCAGAGTGATGGTCATTATTTTGCTTCAGGTATAATGAATACTTTGGACATGCGGGAAGGGAGAAGACCAATCTTCCAATATACATAAACACAATATATACATTTTTAAGTCATTAAAAGTTTTAGATTAAACATGATTTACAGTTACTGTATTAAATTTGTGTGAGTAATTGTGAGCTAATTGCCAAATTATTTTTTCAAAATAACTTCAGAATTTTTATTGGTAAATTGTGAATATTTTATAAAATTGAGGCAGATTGCTATTTCAGATGCTTATTATGTATCAAGTTATTGACAGTGAATGAGATGCTCATGTATGACTTTAAACATCTAAAGAACATGAAATGGACCTACTTAAGTAATTACAGTTTAAAAAGTTATTTAATTTCTTGGGCTGGGTGTGGTGGCTTACGCCTGTAATCCAGGCATTTTGGAGGCCAAGGCAGGCGGATCACCTGAGGTTGGGAGTTCAAGACCAGCCTGGCCAACATGGTGAAACCCCGTCTTCTAAAAAAAAAAAAAAAATTAAAAGGAAAAAAAAAAGTTATTTAATTTCTTAAGCTTTATGCCATTCCATTCATTATTATCCATTAGTAATTTTGTAAGCTGCTGAGTCAAGACCCAATAACTTATTTTTTATTTTTTATTTATTTTTATTTTTTTAAAAAATAAAGATGGGGTTTCACCGTGTTGGTCAGGCTGGTCTTGAACTCCCGACCTCAGGTAATCCACCCGCCTTGGCCTCCAAAGTGCTTGGATTACAGGCGTGAGCCACCATGCCCTGCAACTTTTTTTTTTTAAAGGCTGGTCAGTGAAGCAGTGGTAATAGAGAAGGAACAGAGAAATCTGTAGCCGGTTGTGATCGATAAGTTGTGAACACCACTGCACTTGGAACAGCCAAGGCCCAAGAACTTTTGATTTACCGTGTTTATTTTAGGTTACACCACCTAGGAATATAAGCTAAAAATCTTCCCATAGCTGAGTGCTGTGGCCACATCTGCTTAGGAGGCTGAGATGGGAAGATTGCTCAGCTCAGGTTTTCAAGTCTATCCCTGGCAACATAGCAAAATTTCTGTCTCCAAAAACTCTTATTTCCAGTGACCTGAGTTCCAAATAAATTGTCATTTTTAAGAATGTGTCGGATATTCTGCTTTTTGACAGAAACAGGTTTTTCATAAACTAGGCTTGTGAGCTCCCATACTCTGCTAGTATTATTAGGGAATATGGCTGGCTTTGTTTTGTAGAGATTTGGAATATTCAGGAAATATCAGTCTCTCTTATCTTGGCTTTAGTAATCTTGGAATGAAGCTCATAAAAGTTAGCTATCAAGTTGAAAATATGTTTATTATATGTAAAATGTCATAATTAATGGGTCCTTTTATTAATACCTTTTAAATGTTATCACATTCTGTAAGGATTGTGTTTTAAGTGTTCTCACATAGACATTGACTTTTAATATAGGTAGAAGACTTTTTGAATCTTTCCACACAGCTGTCTGGATTTCATATTTGTATTGACAAAGGGACTTTTGATGCCATCAGCCTTAATCCTGACAATGCAGTTGAAAAGAGGAAGCAATATGTGAAATCTCTCTCCAGGGTGTTGAAAGTAAAAGGCTTTTTTTTAATAACGTCATGTAATTGGACCAAGGAAGAGTTGCTAAATGAATTCAGTGAAGGTAAATGACTGTGTGGTGTTTAAATGTGTGCTCACCTCAGGTTTCATGTACTTAGGTATTCTCCCCTCTTTGTGTTACAGTGTTTTACTTTTCTGTTTGTGGGAATTGCCTGCTTTTTTCTTGGTTAATGACTTTGACAATAACATTTGACTGTATATACAAAGCACAGAGAAATAACATTGGTTGACATCCAGAGATCTTTTAAAAACTTTTCCAAGAAATCCTGGCAGTTAAGTACTAAAATTTATGAGCCTATAAAAATTAAGGTCTCAGCCTGGGCAACACAGTGAAACCCCGTGTCTGCTAAAAATACAAAAAATTAGCTGGAGTTGGTGGCGTGTGCCTGTAGTCCCAGCTACTTGGGAGGCTGAGGTGAGAGGATTGCATAAGCCCAGGAGGCGGAGGTTGCAGTAAGCCAAGGTTGTGCCACTGCATTCCAGCCTGGGTGACAGAGTGAGACCTATCTAAACAAACAAACAGGCCGGGCGTGGTGGCTCACACCTGTAATCCAAGCACTTTGGAGGCCAAGGCAGGCGGATCACCTGAGGTCAGGAGTTCAAGACCAGCCTGACCAACATGGTGAAACCCCATCTTTATTATTAAAAAAAAGAAAGAAAAGTAAACAAACAAAAAATAAATAAAAAAAGTTCTTTATTTGAGCTATACAACTTTTTTTTTTTTTTTTTTGAAATGAAGTTTCATGCTTGTTGCCCAGGCTGGAGTGCAATGGCTCGATCTCAGCTCACTGCAACCTCCGCCTCCCAGGTTCAAGTGATTCTCTTGTCTCAGTCTCCCGCGTATCTGGGATTACAGGCGCATGCCACCATGCCCAACTAATTTTTGTAGTTTTAGTAGAGATGGGGTTTCATCATATGGGTCAGGCTGATCTCGAACTACTGACCTCAGGTGATTATCTGCCTTGGCCTCCCAAAGTGCTGGGATTATAGGCATGAACCACCTCGCCCAGCCACAATCTTTTATTTAAGGTATATAATCTATTATTTATAGACTGAAACAAAAGCACATATATTGTGCTTCTGACTTCAGTGCACTGATTTACTGGCAAATCCATAATAATGCAAATGGAAGAAGTACTTTTGTCTTACAAGATGAGAGTTTTAATTTTATAGATACTTTAGCTGTCTTACCCTAGTGGTCATTTAGGTATTCAGAGATTATAGAACAATTCTTGTTTTCAGAGGATATAAAACAATTATTTTTAAGATTGCACAGAATTAAAATGTATGGAATTGATAGAAGATTCTGGTGCTGAGGCAGGATCCTTTTTTGCCTAGTTAGCAAAGTGTAATTAGTGCAGTGTCTACTTAGGGGGAATCTTGTGAGAAATGAGAATCTGTAATCTACACACAGAATATTTTGAGTTCTCTGGCAGACTGTTCCTTGCATTTTTTAAGAAATATTTTATCTGCCAGTTTGTTCATATAGTGCACAGCCATTTCTGGAAATGTATCTTGAGAATCTACAGATATTTGCTTGTTTTCTCCTTAGAATCCTTTTAGATTAGGTTTTTTTCCCTCCCTTTTCTTTTTTATTCCAGATCCTGCACTTTTTTTTTTTTTTTTTTTTTGATAGAATAGGAGAAATTTTCAGGCTGGAGTCTTGGGTAAATAATATGGTATTCAATATTTGGTTAAATTTTGAATCTCAGTTGTCACAAGCTAACGGGAGGTGAATTACCTCAAGAGAGTAGTTTACTGGGCACCATTATTTATAACCGCACTGCATATACCTTATTTTAGAGTTTGTTTTCTTTTTAGTATTAAGGGAACAGGCTAGGAGAACACTTAACACATGTCCTTTTGTGTGTGTTCAATGGCTTTGACAGATTACTTAATGTAAAACCTGAAGTGTTTGAGGCTAGAAATGTGAGCTGATGGCTTCATTACTATTGCCTCTGGAAAACAAGAATTATATGTGATTTATTGTCTTTTATTTCATGCCATTTATTTTATTATCCCCCATGTTAAATTTGTTTCCTTTAGGACTGTTGAGGCCCTGTATCAATAGGCTTTTCCTCTTCCTGAACCTTGACAGTTTTAATGAATGCTCAGAGTTACACTGTGTAGGGCAAGTTTCTTTTCTGGTTTTTAAATACAGGTGTTCTTTTTTACTCCTAGAACCCGCAGACAAAAACATATTTGTCTGTCTTTGATAATGAGGAACAGACTTTAGCCTGGTTAGAGTACTTAAAAATGTGTCTGTGTCTGAAAACTATTGAGTAAACTCTTTATGTTCAATTTTAGAGCTAAATACGGTATTTAAGCGAAATGTTATAACGGGAAACGTTATATAAATAGTTATATACAATTGAAAACATTTTTTAGGTATGAGTCCCTTAGAAAATGGTATTTGGAGTTAGATACGGGAAAGTAACAGAATACACTGCTGCATGCGTCACTGCCAAAGGTCTTGTTTCTGACTACTCAAATTGGCTGCCACATTCTCTTTGCATAGAATAAAGCTTGTTTCACCAATCTTTTAAGGTTCTTTTCTTATTTGAAATATAAATGTTCATAAAACTGTTGAAACAGATCTTTCATTTTTTTCCATGATACCCCTGATTATGCAAATACTTTGTGTTATCATTTGTTTTGGTGAGGGTTACCTGGAACCACTTGCCCATGTTCTAATTTGATGTCCAAGGGACTTGACTTTATGGCAACGAAAGAACGAAAACAGTGACAACCCATCTAACTTTAGAAGTAGTTTAAAGGAGTCTTTCTGAACCTACTCTGGTTTGGGGACCTGTCTTTTAAAAGAAAAAGTAATTCAAATTTATTATTTAAATAATTGAAAAATATCAATAACATCAACATATAAATATACAAATTAAAATAATTAAAACAATTTGTTTGTCATCAGTGGAGTACAGCCACTGTTAATATTTTTGATGTATTCTATCTTGAAATATAATAATTCCAATTCTGTAGGGTTAGTTCTTAAAATAATTAAAACAATTTGTCATCAGTGGAGTACAGCCACTGTTAATATTTTTGATGTATTCTATCTTGAAATATAATAATTCCAATTCTGTAGGGTTAGTTCAAGGAGTTAAAAAGTTAGTCCTGGAAAATTTATACAGACAGAAAATTTGTATTATTAAACATCCAAAGCATTTGTAAAGTTTTTGAAAACAAATATGGGTGTATAACTATGTATGTACCCAACATAATGCCTGCATTTTCCAGCATTAAGATACATCATATTATTTTATTAAAAGGAATGTCCTAATTTGGAAGTTTTCTTACAATAAGCATTATAATGTTTAGTTATTAATATTTGGTGAAATTAGATGAAGAACGTGAATTAGGATGTATAATGAAACAGTATGATAGACCAATTGATGCAATAATATAATTTTTCTTTCTTTTTTTTTTCGAGACAGAGTCTCTCTATTTCTCTCTGTTGCCCAGGTTGGAGTGCAGTGGCAGGATTTTGGCTCCCTGCAGCCTTGACTTCCTGGGCTCAAGCGATCTTTCCACTTCAGCCTCCTGAGTAGCTGGAACTACAGGTGCACATCATCATGCCTGGATAATTTTCGTATTTTTAGTAGAGACAGGATTTTGCCATGTTGTCCAGGCTGGTCTTGAACTCCTGGGCTCAAGTGATTCTCCTACCTGGGCCTCCCAGAGCGCTGGGATTAGAGGCCTGAGCCACTGCACCTGGCCAGTATACATTATTTTAAACATTTTTTTCTGTTTACAAGAGTTATTTGAGCTCAAAGCATGGGAATTTAGAAAATACAGAACCCCACCCTTGCCTCAAGAAAAAAAAAATTCCAAAACTAATAGATCCATCAATGAGGGAAAACCTTGATTGGCATTTTATTTTACTTTAATTTTTAAATTTATTTTGAGACAGAGCCTGGATCTGTTGCCCAGGCTGGAGTGCAGTGGCATAGTCTTGGCTTACCACAGCCTCTGTCACCTGGCAATCTCCCACCTCAGCCTCCCAATTAGCTGGGACTACAGGTGCACAGGTGCAGGTCACCACAACAGCTTTTTTTTGGTATTTATTGTAGAGATGGGGTTTCACCATGTCCAGGCCAGTCTCAAATTCCTGGCCTCAAAAGAGCTGCCCACCTTGGCCTCCCAAAGTGCTGGGATTATACCATGCCTGGCCCTCGTTGGCATCTTAGTAAGTGACCTTACAGCTTTATTTGTTTTATTTTATTTTATTATTTTAATCAATTAATTAATTTTTTGAGGTGAAATCTTCCCCTGTCGCTCAGGTTGGAATGCAATGGTGCGATCTCTGCTCACTGCAACTTCTGCCTCCTGGGTTCAAGCGATTATCCTGCCTCAGCCTCCCAAGTAGCTGGGACTATAGGTGTGAGTCACCACGCCCAGCTAATTTTTTGTATTTATAGTAGAGACGGGGTTTTGCCATGTCGGCCAAGCTGGTCTCGAACTCCTGACCTCAGGTGATTTGCCTGCCTTTGCCTCCCAAAGTGTTGGGATTACAGGCGTGAGCCACTGTGCCTGGCCTTTTTAAAAGCAAAATAATAAAACACTTTATTTTATAGTTTAGAAAAATACAACACTACATGCCCCCCCTTTTTTTTTTTTGAGATGGAGTTTCACTCTTATTGTTCAGGCTGGAGTGCAGCCTCCACCTCCCGGGTTCCAGCGATTCTCCTGCCTCAGCCTCCTGAGTAGCTGGGATTACAGGCATGTGCCACCACGCCTGGCTAATTTTGTATTTTTAGTAGAGATGGAGTTTCTCCATGTTGATCATGTTGGTCTCAACCTCCCAACCTCAGGTGATCCTCCCGCTGTGGCCTCCCAAAGTGCTGGGATTACAGACATGAGCCACTGCGCCTGGCAGGAAAACACTACATTTTCTGATTTGGATCTTTAAAAAATCCAGTGAATTTGATGGGAGTGGGGGTGGGCATTGTTATTACTAAGTAGCCTCTTTGCATAGAACTCAGGATCATGGTAGAGGTAACTTGATAGCCTATCTCATTTAGTAAGTGGTAAAACTGAGACTTGCACCTAGGATTTTAGATTCCAAGTTACTTTTTTTTTAAACTATACTGTGATGCTTTGAAAGTTATTAGTTTCTTGTCTTCCAGGCCCTTTATTAGTTTAGTTTGAGTCTTCATTTTTGTTATAAATTATTGTTTTTAATTCTGCTGAAATATATATATCATTTTATAACCATTTTTAAGTGTACACTTCTGTGGTATTAAGTACACTTAAATTTTTGTGCAATTGTTATCACCATCCTTCTCCAGAAGTTTTTCGTCTTCTACAAATTCATTTATATTTCCATGTTATTTTGCCTTTCTGTATTAAATGCTTTTGTATGTGTAGTGTGAATTATTTAGATTACTACATATAAATCATTCAAATAATGCCTGGCACATAATAAGAACTTAACACAGGGCCAGGCGATGTGGCTCACGCCTGTAATCCCAGTACTTTGGGAGGCTGAGGTGGGTCTATCACTTGAGGTCAGGAGTTCCAGACCAGCCTGACCAACATGGCAAAACCCCGTCTCTACTAAAAATACAAAAAATTAGCCAGGTGTGATGACGTGTACCTGTAATTCCAGCTGCTCGGGAGGCTGAGGCACGAGAATCGATTGAACACAGGAGGCAGAGGTTGGAGCGAGCTGAGCTTGTGCCACTGCACTCCAGCCTGGGTAATGGAGTAGGACTCCACCTCAAGAACAAACACAAACAAAACTCGACACATGCTGGCTGCTTCCCACAACTGAGGTGATAGAGGCTAACAGAGATACAGCTTTGCAGGGATGATAAACAGGAAGCGGAGGAAATGGGATGTGAATGGAAAGCCTGTTTTTTGCAATTTGTTTTTGGTCTTGTCTTTTCCTTGTTAAATTCAAAGTGGTTTTGGGTGTGCATACATATGCTGTATGTACGTAGTAGAATTGAAAAATCGTGAAATGAAATTCAGCACAATATAGAGTTTGGAATCATTGTTTTATAGTGGGTTTAAAAGTACAGTGTTAATGCATGTATATAAATAAATGTAACTATGAGATTCAGTCTTTAATAAAAGTATTTTAATTTTGTCTGACAGGATTTGAACTTTTCGAAGAGCTGCCAACCCCCAAGTTCAGCTTTGGAGGCAGATCTGGAAACAGTGTAGCAGCATTGGTTTTCCAAAAAATGTGAGACTTTCTTGGACAAATTCAGGTAGCTACACAGAATCTACACAGCGAAGTTACCCTGACACAGAAAATCCATGTGCAAATAAATGCTTAGTAAGTACACAGGTTGCACATGTTGAATAGAGTATAATGGATTGGTAAAAGAAAATAATAATGATGAGCACCTAAGTGGTTGGGTTTTAAAGATCAATCAAGAATAATTTTTAATTTTCTTTTGTATTTGAAATGTAAATGGTTTTCTTTTTGATTAAAAAAGTTTAACTGCAAACAGCTAAAAACTTTAAAGTAGTAAATGAGTTTATAGAAAGCATGTGTTCTTGATTTTTGTGCCTTTGTAAAGTTGGATTGAATATAACTATTTATGAATATTTGACCAAATTATTCCAACACCAGAATAATAAGCAAACAACTTCCTTAGTATTTTGTTAGACTATTTATAAAATATAACAAGAAATACTATTTTGTGTTGGATGGTAGTTATTTTTAAAATTAGTTAATACCTGAGGAAAGGCCTCTTACCTTTATGTATATAGTTAAACAAAATCAGAGAAATGTATCAGTTGCTCAAAAGTTACCAAGCCTGCATTTTGTAGCTGTGGTCTTCTACACCCTATAAGGGATAAACAGGTAGTAGAAGGAAAGAGAACTAAGGGATATTATTATTTGCTAGCATTATGTTAAGTTGTCTTATTAAGTAATTGAATGTTTTCAATATCTTCTTGAGGTATGCATTGCTCCTTCTTGTTTCTACCTGTAAGAAAAAGGAAACTGAGAGAAGTGATGTCACTTTGATGAAGTCAAACAGTACAGGATGGAGCCAGGATTTTTATCTGGGTCTGTGTGACTTTAAAACACATTCTCTTCTCCTAGCATGTTCTGCCTCACAGGTGCTCAGTCTCTGCTTTATAGCATTTACAGTTCAGCTGGAGACCTATGATTATTACATATAGAGTTCAGTTAGAAAAGACGGGTAGTTATTTTGTTAGTGTCCTTCTGTGGAGTTTCAGAATAGCAGTCAGCTAAGTCTGTCTCATATCATCCTTCATTGCTTTTCCCCATCTCCCTACTCAAAGACTTGCCTCTATTAAGAATTTTGTCATTCTGTGAAAAGGCAGTGTAAGTTATATAAGCCTGCAGCATTACATCCACAAGGATGTTCTAGTTGGTGGCTGATTTAGCAAGAGAAACAGTTTATTAATGTTTTTGAAAAGATAAGGCATATTCATACTTAATACCATTCTGAATTTGTGGTAATATTTTAATATTGGAGCCATAATACAAATTTTTACAAAATTTTTTGATGATTTTCAACTTTGTGGGCCTATTGGGTACCATAACTAACAGAATTTTTGTTTATTTGGCAAATTTTACTCCTGTATTGAATAAGTCTAACATTATGTCCTTTTTCTTTTTGGGGAGGGGTAGGTGGGGGAGTGAGTTTTATATTTAGGCCAACATTGTCCAACCATTAAGACAAGATAGCTGAAGACATATATGTGGACTTTAAAGAAAAATAACATTTTTTGAAAAGCTTTTATTTTCAACATGTAAAAAGTGAAAAATTATTTCAAAATATATGCAATTTAAATTTTTTACAAAACTGTGTTGATTTTGTAAGATAGCACATCTTTTTTTTTTTAAAATATGGGGTTTCAACGTGTTGGTCAGGCTGGTCTTAAACTCCCGACATCAGGTGATCCGCCGCCTTGGCCTCCACAAAGTGCTTGGATTACAGGCGTGAGCCACCACGCCCAGCCGATAGCACATCTTAAACTGTAGAAAATTTCATAGTTTTTGAGATCTGGTCTTTGTTTTTTTTTTTTTTCCACATAATATTCTTCTATTTTAAATATAGTTAAGTACTTTTTTAGGATTTTGAGTTAAGTATACGCTATTTTAATGCACTAATCCTACAGACTAGGCTTTCTGTGTGACTAGACTGAGATGTTGAGTTTTATTCACAGAAAGCTTGGAATGGTTGTTTGTTGAAAAGCTTTTCGAGTCACTGTTTGGGGCGTGTTTGTGCCATTTGCAAAGGTGAAGTTTTTTTTTTTTAATCATAGAGCTTTTGATAAGGTTAGGAAAAGGAAGTTGTCATCTCTTCTTATTACTCTAATCCTCCTGGAAGCTAGCCTCCTTAGGACTAAAACCAGAACAAATAGAAGGTCGAAAAATGCCAATAAGAAATTAATATTTTCACATAATTTCACAGGTCAGCAAATGTCCCCAGGTTCCTGAAACAAACCATAAATACATTATTTAACTTAGCATTGGTAAATTGTATAAATATGTGGGTAACTGTGACAGAAATTATGCAGTTATAAAAAGGTGCAGTAAGCTATGTAGTGAATTCTGTTTTCTGTGGATAAGAATTTGGAATTGTAATTTCATTTAATCAAAAGACACTTATTTTGAGGAAACTTGTTTGAAATGCAAACGAGATTTCTCTGTAGAGCCTGCACAGAATTGTTGCTTTTCATTATGATGTTACTGCTGCAGAACAGGCCACTTCTGTGTGTAGGAAGTGCGTATGCAAGTCCAAAGGGAACTGAGGCCTGAATGGGTGGGTCACACCAATTAGCAAATAGAAAGTTTTTGGTACATTTTGTTTTAAGCCAGGTGCACAAGTTAGAGTTGCTTTTTGGGACTGGTATTTATGTATGTGAGAATCAAACCTGATATCACTCTTGGCAGCCTGACTAAAGCCATTTAAAAATAAGTACAAACTGTCCTTGAATGATTTTTTTCTCATTGTAGTGGCACTGAATTTTCCTTTTTTCTTCATCTGTGGTATGCTTACAATCTTCTGGGTTTTTTTTTTTTTTTGAAGAAATAAGGGAGCTAAGTATATGCAAAAGACTTTCCATTTTTTTATGAGTTATGTGCTCCGGTGGACTGACTTATTTTTAAATTTCTATGATACTGTAATGCAGTACTTTATGTTGACCTCAGTTCACTTTTATCCAGAGTATAACAGAAACCTCAATTTTTAAGGAACCTGCATTAGTAGTTAAGTTTCATATGGCCTTGAAATAATTTTCTTCAAGTTGGTATACAGAGAAATAGCATATTCCTGCCTATGTTAATGACTTTCATTTATGTTCTTTTAAGTAATTTTATTTTACGAATTGTGTGTGTGTATGTGTGTGTCTTTCTCTCTCTCTGTCTGGTGGCCTGCAATGAAAATCTGTACAAATGTGAACAGTTTGTCTCCAGAGGAGAGCCCTGGGGTTTGATTTCCTGTTTTTGGCTCTGTAAGCTAAAGTGTATGTGCTCCTGGATAGCCCTCTACTTTAAGAGTATGAGACCAAGTGTCTTGTGTTCACAGTAGTAACCTCTTTAGCTAATTGTGTGTCTGTGTGTGGGAGGGGGCTGTTGATGGGCTCTGAAAGAAGTCTTGTCTAGTACACTTCACTGAATGAAGGCTGCCTGTGACCTAGAGCTTGATTGTGGGAGGTGAGGAGCATATGTGGCTGAAAGACAATTGCATAATGGGAAAAAATTAGGAAATCCTTACATTTCTCTTGGCTAGGCAGGAAACAGAGATGTCCATAGAAGAAGGGGGAGCCCATCAGCATGTTTTATTAACAGTTAATGGAAGAAAATTAATGCTAATTTATTCTTCATATACACCATGCAATTTGTTAGAAAAGTAAAAGAATAGTTTGAAATTCTTTGGTCAATTGATGGATTCCTATGTTCGGGGCATAGAAATGAAACTCAACATCAAGCAGACAAATACCCAAGCCCACAGGCTACATAAATGCTGAATAAAACCAGCTCTACAATGGAACCCTGAAAAGCGTCGGGTAAGAAGCCTAATGAATGATTGAATATGACCTTAGCAAAATCCCTGGAGTGTTGTTGAAAGATCATTCATTTCCAGCTTAGATGTCAAGATGGGCTCCAGTAACCAGGAAAAAAAGAGAGCTTGAGTCAGTACTCACTGAGTTTTAAAAATCTTTTACAACACGGTGCATTAGACTGATCATTAAAAGGACTTCTCTAGCTGAATTTTGAGCTGTCACTATAGTTTAGGCCCAGGGAAATAAACTTAAAAAGATAGGAATAATTCCTAAGACATGAATGTATCAGTATCCTATCCTGCTTTTATGGAGTAGAACTTCAAAAACTGAGATGTGTAGGCTGGCAGAATGTACTTTTGTCATGCTGATACCATTGTAAAAAAAGTCTTACAACTAGGAGATCAATTGAGCCCTCAAGTATTTGCAAATTACTTGCCTAGCTTGTTAGAGGAAGAAATAAAAAGCCAAAATCTACATTTTTGTTTTCAAAAGAAATGATTTCTTTGTTTTCTGAAGAGATGAGAAATGATAAATTCTTCCATGTTCTGTTCTATTATTACCGTACCATATCAGCAAATGATAAGTATTTTAGTGAGTGATCTTTATTGTTCATGCTATCTGGAAGCATCTTAAGAAAAGCGAATCTAGTACATCTGTTTTCCCAAATATGTAAAAATTTACACATAATCCGGCAGTTAGTATTGAGTAGGTTAGGAAAAAATACGAAATACTCTGGTTGAATAAGGGGACTATGAACTGTATTTCTCACTTTTCATTAATGTATTACAGATCAGGCAGTTTATCATCAATGATGATAGCAGAATTGAAATGGTGTGGGATGGCTGTAGTTCCCCAGCTTTTGCCTGCCTTACTGCTGCATGGAGGAGGGAATTGTCGGGAGGAAGAGGCTAAATGTAGAAGAGTGTGGGTGCTGTCAGTTCACATTTTCCTCCTAACCCTTCTGCTAATAGGAAAATGTCAGGCCTTTGTTCCCATCTAATTTTAGTACATCCTGGCTAAAAAAATGTTAGGATGAAAAAATGTTAGGATGATTTCCAACCGTAGAACTTTGAGGGGTGGAGTAGGGGAAGGAAGAGTGGAGGAAAGAGCAGTTTATACTCCATATCCGTCTGCCTTGCTGCGACAGCACCTAGCCCCTACTCTGTTGATTTTGGGAATGAAATAAATTTAGATGCATTGAAACAGTGATAATTAGGTTTTCCTTATATGATCTCAATAAGAAGCCTAATTGGTGTCTGAATGGGGAAAAATTATAATATGGTATTTAATAAAACATACTTGGTGGAATTAAAGAGCTATATGCAAGCTTTGGAAGAAAGGCCTGAAATTGTGAGTGAAAACTGCATGTGGTGCTATTTATAAATAGAACCTTAGAGATCTATTTGTGTTTCAGTGAAACTGCTTTTATACTGTTATTTTGAATGACAGTAATATTTTGATTTTTGAGAAGCAGTCATAAGCAAGGCACACAAGGTGCTTATCCCCTCTGTAAACCCCAACAGGCCTACAGGGAAAGCCCAGATTCAGTGAGAGAGCCAGTTGGATCAAACAATTAGTAATATAGTTTGTTTAAGAGATAGGACAGAATTCTTCTTGGCTTTGTAATTGGAAGTACCTGTCTTCCCCCATTAT